ATAGATATATCCAGCGAAAAGTACCTTTTCTAAGCATGATGGTATAAGTAGCCTATTCTATGGGAACTTCGCTAAGAATGTAAGTTATAAAACTTAATGACCTTCACAGCTTGATTCAACAGACTCGTGGTGACAAGGGAATATGTAGGAGACATCATTAGGCTCATAGTGGTAACAAATTTTCCAGAGCTAATAAGAAAATGCAGGGTCATCACAGATCATACAGAGCTCTGTTTATTGATAAAGATTTATTATTTATGTGCTAAGATAGTCAATGACAAATGATTGTAAAGACGTTATTATGAAGTATAAAAGTGTACATTGCCATGCTGACTTTTAATCAGGCGGAAACTTTGGTGGACTTTTACCACATGTATTTCACGGCACATGCTTGTAAAACAAAGTCTGTAATTGCTGAACGCAAGACTCAAAGTAGAACCAACAGGCATCTGAGAGTCTTACTGTGTTTCCCCCTTCCCACGGGGGCCAAGTGACAGCCTCCAATAGATCAGCTTCACAGAACCGGGAGCTAATTCAGGAAACTGCTGGAGCTGGACTCAAATTTGTGCCTATCCTTAATTGATGACAGTAACAGTTAAATGCAAAGGGTCAAAGGATGAAGGGTCTAGGCCTGAAACGTCAGCCTTTCTGCTCCTATGATGCTGCTCCTTTTCTGATGAAGGGTCTAGGCCCGAAACGTCAGCCTTTCTGCTCCTATGATGCTGCTTGGCCTGCTGTGTTCATCCAGCCCTGCACCTTGTTGTCTCGGATTCTCCAGCATCTGCAGTTCCTACTATCTCTGATTCAATTTTAACGCCACTAATGGTGGAATGGTTAAAATTGGGAAGCTCAAAAGGCTGAGAATAGAGGAGAACAAACATCTCCAGGTTTACGTGGTTGGAGAAAATTGGAGAGAAAGTGAAAGGTGAGACTTGAGGGATTTAAAAAGAAGGATGAGAATTTTCAGATCAAGGTGTTGCTTAATTGAAAGTCAATGTAGGGTCAGTGAGCACAAGGTTGATGGGTCAACAGCATTTGGTATGAGCTTGGACACAGATGGCAGAGGCTAGGGTGACCTCAATTTTGTAGACAGTGGAAGAAAGGAGATCAGCCAGGAATGCATTGGAATAGCCATGCCTAGAGTTAACAAAGGCATGGATGAAGGTCACAGCAGCCTACACAAGGATGGAGTTGGGCAAAGTTACAGAAGTGGAAATCAACAGACATTGTGATGGCAGAGATATGCATTTGGAAGCTCATCTTGAAGTCACTTAAGACACAAAGGTTGTGAAAAGGGTTTCAGAGATAGTAGGAACTGCAGATGCTGGAGAATCTGAGATAACAAGGTGTAGAGCTGGATGAACATAGCAGGCCAAGCAGCATCAGTGCTTCCTGCTCCTCTGATGCTGCTTGGCCTGCTGTGTTCATCCAGCTCTACACCTTATTATCTAAGGTTGTGAAAAGTTTGTTTCAGCCCCATACAGTTGCTGGGAGAGGAGTGGACTCAGCTGAGGAATGCAGTTTGTGGCGTGGAATGAAGACAATAGCTTCTGTAATCACAAAAGCTGAAAAGATGATATCCTCATAACAATGTAATAGAATAAAAAAAACCATAAAAGTATTAATTTCTGCTGTTCTCATACAAAAAGTTAAAGAAGTAATACTACCATATTTCTCATTCATTGGTCTTTACAACGAAGGAGGGAGTAATACAATACAATACATTGAAATGAAACTGATAGAGAGCATCTACCTTTGACAACTCAAACATTGCCTGCATTGCTGGCTCATCCTCTACAAAATCATCTTTCACATCTGCATCCAGTGTCAGGTAAGCCATGCCTTCAATCGCCCACTTTCTCGTACGAATGTCAATATTTTGATTGCATAGCCACCTATATATGGAATTTAATTCAGTTAGAGATAAAAAAAAAATTTATTCTATTCACATTAATCCATTCGAAACATATCCTGACATTCAAATCAGGAACTATAACGTCATGTGCTGATGTTAGTTGATTGATCTGCTCATGAAGCTATCTGGTTTACAGACAGACATGAGAAACGTCAGAATGTTTTATCTTTTTAACTTGTCACTCATGACCACAATGTTATCAGCAGTCAATTTGCACACAGCAAATTCGCACAAATGCTGATGTCTTAGTAACGGAGAAATCAAGAGTGTTTTTATGGTGTTTATTGAGGGATAAATATCAGCTAGAACACTGGGGAGACCTATTTTTCAAAAAGAGTGATATGGGATCTTTAACATCCACTTGAGAGGGCAGCTGCGGACTTAGTTTTCATTTCCACAAGTAGTCTGTATCTCTCACATTATAGCATTCCCTCTATTTCACTGGAAGCATCGGCCAAGATTGTCCATTCAAGTATTTTTTTTCCTTTATTCGCATCGGCCAAGATTGTCCATTCAAGTATTTTTTTTCCTTTATTCATTCATGGGACATAGCATCACTGCTCAGGCCAGCATTTATTACTCATTCTAACTGCCCAGAGGGCAGTTAAGAGTCAACCATACTACTGTGGGTCTGGAGTCACATGTAGGCCATTCCAGTTAAGAATGGCTGTTTCCTTTCCTAAAGGCTATTAGTGAACCAGATGGGTTCTTCCAATAATCAACGGTGCTTCATGTTTGGCATCAGACTCTTTTCTGAATCTATTCAGATTCGACCACCTGCCATGGTCTCCAGAACAGTACTGGGGTATGTAGATTAATAGTCTTGCCATACTAACATTGGGCCATCACCTCCCCAGTATGTCTCCCAATCTTCCAATTTAGAGGCATATATGCTATCCACAGAACCATGGCTGACGCACACACTGCAGCTTAGATATACCAGTGTGTACATATAATATATAGCAAACATTTTATTAACCAGCACCTATGGGACAAGGAGTATTGATCAAGAGATCCCCATAGCCAATGCAAAAACACACACTAAGTAATAGAAACATAATCCAGGGAATATACAGATCACTGATATACCTACATCATACTTTGCCTTAAATAAAAATTACCAGCAGAGAGCGTTCTCATTAGCACCCTCAACTGACTAATCAGTCATTGCAGACCTCAGTACTTGAGGAGAAATTGATTTGAAATTGAATCATCAGTTGATATTTCAAATGGGCATTCGATTGAACAACAAGTATATTTACATTGAGGTAAATAAATTAAATAACTATAATAATTGGATGGAATAATACAGTAAACATTGCATATTTGAGGTATAAAGTTTTTGCCAGTTTAACAAGAATGTTGGTTCATAAGGTGTCTGTCAAAACAGAATTTGAAATACCTTTATTTATCTCACCTTCCACAATGAAGCCTAACAATTCTTTCAGTCATAAAATCATGCAGCATAGAAACAGACCCTTTGACCCGCCATGTCTATGCCAACCTACAAACACCAAACTATACTAATTCCATTTACCTGCACTTGGTCCATAGTGTACTATGCCCCAGCATTTCAAGTACTCATCCAAATGATTCTGAAATGTTGCAACAGTACCTGCCTCCAACACCCTCTCAGGCAGCATGCTCTATATACCTACCACCTTCTGCGTGAAAAAAATGTTCTTAGATTTCCTCTAAACCACTTGCTGCCTACCTTAAAATTATGCTCTCTGGTCTTAGACACAGAATCCCTACAGTATGGAAGCAGACTATTCAGCCCATTGAGTCCATACTGCCCCTCTGAAGAGCATCCCACTAGATTTACCTCCCTACCCTATCCCCGTAACCCTGTATTTCCCATGGCTAATCCAGCTAGCCTGCACATTGCTGGACACAATGGCCAATTTAGCATGGCTAGTCCTCATAACCTCCACATCTTTGGACAATGGGAGGAAACCAGAGCACCTGAAGGAAACCCACAAAGACACAGGGAGAATGTGCAAACCCCACACAGAGAGTCGCCCAAGGCTGGAATTGAGCCCAGGTCCCTGGCACTGTGAGACAGCAGTGCTAATCTCTGAGCCACCATGTCACATCTGCCGAGGAGAAGTGATTTTTATGATCTACTCTGTATATGCCTCATAATTTTGTCATACCTTAATCAGACACAAAGTAAACAAACCCAGCTTATCTAATCTCTCCTCAGTACTGATACTTTTCATCCTTGACAGTATCCGGGTGAATCTCTTCTGCACCCTCTCCAGTACAATGACGTCCTTCCGATAGCAGTGGCAACCAGAACTGCACACAGTATTCCATCTGTGACCTAACTAACTTATTGTAAAGTTGTCACAAGACTTCCTTGCTTCCACATTCTACGTCCCAGATAATGAGGGTAAGCATCCCATATACCTTCTTCACTACCCTATCTACCTGTACTGACTCCTTCATGGATCTATGGACTTGTACACCAAGGTTCCACCAAGATTAGTTGTGGAATGTAATTTAAAAATAACCTGCTTCTCCACACAAACTCATTTTACAATATCACACAAACTACATATAATCTTCAATTTCTCATATTACCATACAAAGTTTTGTTAAAGATTTGGTTAGTGCAATTGATAATACCTTGATAAAATTGGTTTAAAAATTATAAAGAGAGATACACTTTCATCAAAATATCATAGACCCATTTACAACAAAGTTCTTTCAGATCGTTATCAACACGTAATCCACAAAAGTTGGAGTTAACATAAAACAAATTTCTGATGTTCCACTGGAGAAAGGTGGAATATGCAAGACTTCTCACCAACCTATACTGATTCTTGGCCCAGCAGTATCTCAATTTTAACATTCTCTTCCTTCAGTGCAAATCCTTCCATCATCATGCCCATGCCAATCTCTCTAATTGCCTGTGGAACTACAGCTCTGCAAAATACTTGCATTCCTCAAATTCTGGATTCTTGAGCACTCATAATTTTTATCACACTACCATTGTGCATTCAGCTGCCCGGAGCCTAATCTGTGGAATTCCCTCCCTAAACCTTCTCAATCTCTCTTCCCCAGTGTCTAACACTCCTTAAAACCAATTTGTTTGACCAAGCTCATCTGTCCTAATATATTTGCATGTGGCTTGTTGTCAAATTCTGTCTAATAGTGTTCCTGTGAAGCACTCTGAGCTTGTTTCCAACATCAAAGGTGCTATATGAATGCAAGTTGCTGTTATAATACTGTACTTGTGATACTTACTTTCTGCATTGTTTTGCAAGTTTTTCAGTGGATCCCTCAGAAAACTGCCTCAGACTGTAGTCAGTACCCCCTGCTGATCCAAGCTTGCACAGACCCTATCAGGAATACACACAAATTGGTAAATGTATTTAAATAACAACTCTTCAAACAAGTAACCTGCCAAGTCCTAAAAATTATGATCAACACTTTCATTGACAGATCAAGAAAGTTGATTTTAAGAGATGAAATATATTAAGAAAATCTGCTCACTTTGCTTAGTTCCTATTCGTGAATGACGTTTAAAGAGAGCTTTACATGGAAAATAAGCCAGTTAAAATATTCCTTCATTTGTGAAAATATGGGAATAAAAACCAGTAATAGTATGTGCAAATTGACATTGCTAACATTAGATTGTTAATCAGCATTGTCCATGGTTATGGTAGAATATGACCCACAAGAAGTCAAGAGAGTTAACCACCACTGCGACTGAAGTAATCTGTAGCTGAGTAAGCTGAAGGCCACAAAAAAGGCAGTTACAAAGTCTTAAATAAAGCAAGGAGTTGTGGATGCTGGGGATCTGAAACAAAAAAAAATGCAGAAATTGCTGGAGAAACTCAGCAGGTCTGGCAGTATCTGTGGGAGGAAAGCAGAGATAACACTTTGAGCCCGTTCTGATGAAGAGTCACTGGACTCAAAACGTCAACTGTCCTTTCTTCCCACATATGCTGCCAAACCTGCTGAGTTTTGCCAGCAATTTCTGTTTCAGTTACCTGTTAGCCAGTGCTTCAGTCAATGTTCATTACAGAATTGTCCATTTATGAATGTAGAATGCTACAACTGCCTGGCTGTCATCTTGAGAATTTGGGAAAAGGTACCTGGAGAATATACTGTTGGACAGAAATGGTAGTTACCACAAATTATTGTGGAACTGCAGCAAGCCAGTTGAGATCCATACAATTCAGAAGCACAAGGATGTCCAAACAAAATTCAGAGGGCATTGTTGTCCAAGGAGCCCCAGTGGATGTGAAGATTGACTCAGAGGCACCAGTCAGACAATTGAGTTGCTACACTGCCAAAAATTGAGGCAGCATCAGTTGGAGAAATCATGCATAGAATTAAGAAGTTATGGAGGAGAGAAAATCCCCATAATGGGAAGGGTGACAGTTCCAGTCATCAACAAGGAACAATGGCAAAATTACCCATTATCACCAGAAACTCAACCTAGGTCAGAAGGAATTTGTTAATAACACTGAAGTTAAACAACTACAAGAATTTTCACACAGAAGCGAAATTCATGAAACAGGACCACATATTCTTGAGTGTTTAGTGAAACTGGCCACCCGATTCAAGGACATTAGGTCCACATACATGTCAAGAAGAATTCCAGACCAGTTTACAGTAACTTTGTCCAGTACTTTAAGTTATAAGAGAGAAGATAGAACAAGAGCTGGAAGACTAGAGTTGGAAGACATTATTGCAGAAGTTGAACAGAGTAGGTGGACTACTCCCAAAATGGTCGCAACAAAGATAAATGGAATTGTAAGATTAAATAGGGATTATAAGTCAGGGACCAGAATCTATTCCATCTGATAATTGGTCAAAAGTTGAGAGTTTGCTCATGTTTTGTATGAAGATTGGACTTCTTTTCAAAACTAGGTTTGATAAATACAGATTTGAATGAGGTAATGAGTCAAAGTTTCATATAACTATTAGTAACCAGGTGGATGGATTTTAAGTTCATAGACTTTTGGTGGTTTGTTAGCCTGTGGAATTTTTCAGGGAATAATGAAGCAAATTTTGTAAGAAATTCAGTGAGTGGTGCATTAGTTGGATGATATTCTCATTTCAGCTCCAAATAGGCAGATCCATGATGACAACCTGAAGAAGGTGCTCCAATGTTTGGAATTGAATGTCAGCGAAAACAGTCAACTGTGAAATGGTTAAATTCTGGAGAGTATTTGGGTCTTAGTGTAGTCAAAGATAAGTTACTTTTAACCCAAAGCAAAGTTCAAGCAATAAGAAATGTGCTACATCTTCAGAATATGTCTGTGCTCGGACTTTTTTTGGGTCCAATGAATGATTATGGTAAATTCATATCAAATTTGGTGACCTTATCACATCCGTGAACTGAACTCTTGGTTTTGGCAAAGGAGTGTGACAAAACATTTAAGTTGTATTAAAGTAAATTGAAAGATGATACAATTCCTGCAAATTATAGAATGTCAAGAAGGATTAAGCTTTGATGCCTCTCTGAACTGAATCAAAGCTGTGATATCTCACACGTTGAATAATGGTGAAGAGGAACCAATTCCATTTGCCTCAGGTACATTCAGTGTCAGTGAGTAAATTTATGCTCAAATAGAATGAAGCATTGTCTTTGATTTTCAGAATGCGAAGCGTACTAATTACTTCTATAATTATCGATCCACCATCAAAATCGATCTTGGCAATTAATGGTTATTTGGATTGAAAAGCTCTAATATCCAGTTTGGCTGTGGTCTGAAGACAGAGATGGTTTTTGTTTCTGTTTATTAGTATAACAATAAGTAAAAAGGTAAAATTGGGTGGTCCTAATAGACCATGGAGCTGATCTCTCATAAGAGAGAGAGACAACTGGTTGTGGTTTAACTTGTGAGTCACAGATAGGTAGATAAACAGATATACAGGTAGAGACCACAAGATCTTTCCAGGCACAGAGAGACATGGGCATTAGTGAGAAAGTTGGGAGAATCACGCAAGATTGGCAGTGAGGAGCTTCCCAACATCGAAAGCAAAAGAACCCATTTTGCAGCCAAGTGTTGAACAGCAAGAGAAGATACTCACTGGTGAGCAACACAATGCCTATTTTTATCCACTGTCGTCCTCGTCAGCGCATTATCACAACTCATTAATATGCAGTTTCCAATTCTCCCAGCCACCAGATAGAAACTAGATGGCAACAAGTTCCAACATTAAATTCAATGCAATAACCTTGTTTCTCCAGCTCATTGCTTGTTCCTTTAGACCTCCAACAGTCACTAGCAGCTCAGGGCATGCTCCATGAACAATGACCGTATAAACACTCGACTCATTGCCCCCACTCCACTCCCCCCTCCCCCATATGGGTGAGGAGCGCAAATTATGTGGTGAGTTTGGGGAGAGTGAGACAACTTGCTAGGTCTTATGAAGTGAAATCTTCATTGAAACTTCCACAAATATCCCCATCCTCAATGATGGAAGAGCCCAGCACATCAGTGCATAAGATGAGACTGAAGCAACCACAGAAATCTTCAGCTAGAAGTGCCGAGTGAATGTTCCATCTTGGCTTCCTACAGTGGTCCCCAGCATCACAGATGGAAGTCTCCAGGCAATTCAATTCACTTCATATTATATTAAGAAACTGAAGCATTGGATACTACAAAGCCTATGGACCCTGACAACATTAAGGCAAGGCTCAAGAACTTGCCGCTCCCCTAGCCAAGCTGTTCCAGTACAGCAACAATGCTGTCATCAACCCGACTATGTGGAAAATTGCCCACGTATGTCCTGTAAACAAAAAGCAGAAAAATCCAACTTGACCAATTACTGCCCCATCAGCCTACTCTCGATCATCAGTAAAGTGATGGAAGGTGTCATCCAACAGTGCTATCAAGAAGCACCTGCTCAGAAATAACCTACTCAGTGACGCCCAGTTTGGGTTCTGCCGGGGCCACTCAGCTCCTGACCTCATTACAGTCTTGGGTCAAACCTAGACAAAAGTACTGAATTCTAAAGCTGAGGTGCAAAATGACAGCCCTTGACATTAAGGCTGCTTTGTACCACGTGTAGCATCAAGAAGCCCAACAAAACTGGAATCAATGTGAATTGGGGGCAAAGTCTCTACTGATTGGAGTCATACCTGGCACAATTGAAGATGGTTGTAGTTGTTGGACATCAGTCATTTTAGCTCCAGGATATTATACAGGCGTTCCACAGGGTGGTGTCCTGGCCAAAACATTTTTAGCTATTTCATCAATGATCTTCCTTCCATCATAAGCTCAGAAATGGGGATGTTTGCTGATAATAGCACAATATTAAGCACCATTCATGAACCCTCAGACACTGAAGCAGTCCATGTTCAAACACAAGGTCTGGTCGATATCCAGACTTAGCTGAACAGTGGCAAGCAACATTCACCAGTAACAAGTGCCAGGCACTGACCATTTACAATAAGAGACAATCTAACCACTGCACCTCGACGTTCAGTGTTACCACCACTGAATCCCCTGCTATCAACATTATAGGACTTACCATTGACTAAAAACCCAACTGGACTCGTATATTAACAAAGTGGCTACGGGAGCAGAGGTTAGGAATACTGTGGTGAGTAACTTACCTCCTGACTCTCCAAAGCCTAACCACCATCTACAAGGCACAAGTCAGGAGTGTGATGGAATACTCCCCACTCAAAAAACTTGATGCTTGCCAGGATAAAGCAACCTGCTTGATTTACACCACTCGCACAAGCATCCATTCCCTTCACTACTGATACTCAGTAGCTGTAGTGTGTACCTCCCACAAGATGCTTTGCAGAAATTCACCAAAGCTCCTAGGCAGTACCTTCCAAACCAACAAACAAAGCACTTTCCAAACTCACTTCCATCTAGAAGGACAAGGGCAGCAGATATATGGGAATGCAACCATCTGCAAGTTCTCCTCCAAGCAAGTCACCATCCTGCCTTGTAAAGCATTAGAAGCTTTTGCATGGTTTGATTGCTACTTTTATTGTTGCCCAGAGGAAATTTTGTCTGACAATGGATATCAGTTTTCCTCAAATGAGTTTTCAAATTTTAATGAGAATGACAGGGTAAAATGCATTAGTGTTCTAACTTATCATCCTGCTTCAAATGGAGCAGCAGAACACACAGTACATGTTGTTAATATCCTCTTGTTCAACAAATGCAAGTTAGAAACTAGAAGAATTGCCAAATTTCAGTGAATCACAAACTGGTGACGTTTTTGTTTATTTATTGTACCACAATCTCCAGCTGGTAGAAAGCCAGCTGAATTGTTTCTTAGAAGATAGCCTTGAACAAGGATTTCATTGCTGAAGTTCAGACAGTGGAATAAAAGCAATTGAGAGAGAAAGGGAGTCATGAACAGAGTTGAGTGAAGAGAAAGAGCATCCGAAGTTGAAGCAGAAGATAAAAGATGTCTTCATAAGTGGCTCCCATGGAGAATTGTACAAATATATGGTTCTTGCAAATATTTAGCCAAGATGTTTGATAGTGGAAAGGTTAGCCTTGACTTGCAGATCATGTTTTATCTTCAGAAGTTCATGAAAAGGAAGGGAGTTGGGAAGAATCAAATGGAGCTGATGAATTGGATAATTGGAATACAAGGAGGGTACAAATTGTTACTCCAACAAAAGTTAGAAACCAGTTTAGATCTGAGTTAGTGCCAGACACACATGTTTGATAAAGGGGAAATTCAATTGAAGACTGTCAGAGAAAACATCCCCTCAATCTCAGGCTAAGACAGGTCAATGTCCTTCCCCATGTTCTACAGGTTTGAGTCAGGAAAGAAGGTAACCTCTTAGGAATTGAAAACCAGTGGTTGGGTTAGACTTGTAAATAAATTGAAAACAAGAGATGTGATAATTGTTTGGAATTTTGAATATTATGTAATATATTCATTAAGGAGTAAAGAGTGTAATAGCATCTTGTGGCCATTTGTTTCTATGTACCTACTCGAATAAACAAGTTTAGTTTGGGGTCATTTTCCATGTGTTGCACATTTTTTAGTCTGCCCAAAAAGATCACATAAGGTAGGGCATTCTCACTTAAAAGAGAAAATTCAATAATGGCCTGAAAGGGATCATTAAAATTATGAAGTGGTTTTCTAGGTTACATATAGAGATGTTTCCATTTATGGGAGAGACCACAAATGGGGTCTACAAATATAGGACAGTCACTAATAAAACAAACAGGAAATTCAGGAGAAACTTCTTTCCCCAGAAATTGACATGAATGTTGAAGTCACTACTGCAGGGAGTAGAATTGTTTCAGAGATAGTAGGAACTGCAGATGCTGGAGAATCTGAGATACCAAGGTATAGACCTGGATGAACACAGCAGGCCAAGCAGCATCAGAGGAGCAGGAAGGCTGACGTTT